GCCAAGCAGCATCATAGGAGCAGGAAGGCTGACGTTTCAGGCTGACAAAGGGTCTAGGCCCGAAACGTCAACCTTCCTGCTCCTGTGGTGCTGCTTGGCCTGCTGTGTTCATCCAGCTCTACACCTTGTTATCTCAGATTTCCCAGCATCTGCAGTTCCTACTATCTCTGAGTTAATTTTTCATACCACTTGCAAGAAAAGGACTAATGTTTGTGGATTATGTATATAAAGAAGCACAGTATGTTTTTTGGTTTTCTTTTCTTGCAGCTAATACCCTGAAACATTTTGAGGTAGGGATTGATCGTGAGACAAATCAGATGGATCTCATTTGGACAAATTTTGCCCGATTTGGTTACACGTGTCTATTTGGATCCTTTAAGGTAGCCTTTGTTGGTAGCACAGTCAAGAATGATTCATTTTATCATCCAGTTCCACCTCCAAAAAACAAAATGGACCGGAAGGCGAGGAAAACACACATGGCAGTGTTGGCTCTGTTTGGACTGCTGGTGGTGAGAGGTGGGAGTAAGGATGTTAAGCAGAAGAAGGCAAGTTGACAAGATTGTGGATCATTTGCTGAGGCAGTGTAAAGGAATCTTTGTAGAATTTACACTGTGGGTGTTACTCTGTTTCCTGACACATGTTGTACTTAATGTTGGACTAAGGAGGACCTAACCTAATTAATTTGTGCTGTACCTGACCTGGGAATGCCACATTGAACTGTACACTCTGAACCTACCTGGAAACTGTAGCTCAGCCAATGTGAAGGCATATAAATAAAGCATATCTGACCACTCAATGATCAGAGTCAAGATAAAGCTTACAGTGCATTCAAGCTGTTCAATGCCTCACCTAGGAATCATAGAATCTATACAATGCAAGTGGAGGCCATTCAGTCCATCATGCCCACACTAGCCCTCTGAATGAGCATCTTACTTAAGGCTACTCCCCTTGTCCACATGGCCCTGCACATTCTTCCTCTTCAGATAACAGTCTAACCACCTTGTGAATATTTCAATTAAAACTTCCTCCACCAGACTCTCATGCATTGCATTCTAGACCTTAAAGATTGGCTACATGGTTCGTTTCATCCTTAATCAATTATTTCAAATCTGCATCTTCTTGTTTTTGAGAGGGAAGAGAATCTCCCTGTCCATCTGCCCAGCCCCCTCATGGTTTGGAATACCTCATTCAAATCTACTTGTAGCCCGCCCTTCTTGAAGGAAAACTACCTGAAAATTCTCAGATTTCTCCTTTTGGCTGAAGTTTCTGGGAAATAATCTCATGAATCACTTTTTTTACTTCTTTCCCATACACTCACATCCTTCCTAAAATACGGCACCCAGACCAAGCGCAATACTCCAGCTGATGCTAAACTAGTGCCTTATGCAACTTCAGTAAAACCAGCTTGCTCATATATCCCAGGCCCCTATTTATAAGGCTCTAACACTGTATGCTTCATTAAACATGGTTTCAATCTGCCCTGCCACCTTCAATGACTTGTGCACGTATACACCCGGTTCTTTTGGCTTCCACGCCTCCTTTGGACGGGTACCCCTTGTTTTACAGCTCTCTCCATGTTCATCTTGTCAGAATGAACTATTTCACATCTCTCTGCATGATTAAGGGTCTCCGGACTCGAAATGTTAATTGGGTTTTTCTCTCCCTACAGATGCTGGCAGACCTGCTGAGTTTCTCCAGCAATTTCTGTTTTTGTTTAAGAATTTCAGCACCTGCAGTTATAGAGTCATAGAGTTGTACAGCACAGAAACAGACCCTTCTGCCCAACTGATCCATGCTGACCAGATATCCTAAATTAATCTACTCCCATTTTCCAGCATTTGGCCCATATCCCTCTAAACTCTTCCTATTCATACACCCATCCAGATGCCTTTCAATGTTGTAATTGTACCAGCTTCTGGCAGCTCATTCCATATATATACCATCCTCTGTGTGAAAATGTTGCCCCTAAGGTCCCTTTTTAATCTTTCTCCTCTCACCCCAAACTTATGCCCTTTAGTTGTGGACTCCCCCACCTAGGGAAAAAACCTTGGCTACTCATTCTATCCACACCCCTCATGATGTTATAAACTCCTATATAGTCACCCCTCAGCCTCTGACGCTACAGGGAAAATAACCCCAGTCTATTCAGTCTCTCCTTAAACCATCCAAACCTGGCAAAATTCCTGTAAATCTTTGCTGAACCCTTTCAAGTTTCACACTATCTTTCCTATAGTAGGGAGTCCAGAATGGCATGCAATATTCCAAACGTGTACTAACCAATGTCCTGTACAGTCACAACATGACCTCCCAACTCCTACACTCAATGCGCTGACCAATAAAGTCAAGTGTACCAAATGCCTTCTTCATTATCCTGTCTACCTGTGACTCTACTTTCAAGGAAATATGAACCTGCACTCCAAGGTCTCTTTGTTCAGCAACATTCCCCAGGACATTACCATTTCTTTATAGTTTGATGGGATAATACTGAGGGAGCTTTCCCTTAATCTAACCCATATTACAGCTAACTTTGAATATTGTAAAGGCACATTTGATGGTTTAGTTATATGGGCACCAATGTCCAGACCACCATTGGGTGGAATAGCATGCCTAAGTCACAACAAGATGGTCTGTAGCGTTACTGATTAGTAAAGCTGTACTGGTGGCTGAAGTACTAAGATTTAATTCTGAAGAGTCCAGCTTAGATTGTTTTGCTGGATTAAATTTAAAAGTTGCATCAGAGTACTTAAAGTGATGCTTTTGGAGTCCCAATTATCCTGTTGTTTCATTGATGCTCCGAATATTACATTTTTCCAATTATAACATTTTAAATTAAATTGTCGTGAAATACAATGTCATGAGGAATGGCACTGGATTCTGAGGTGGATGTTAAAAGGGGAAAAAAAAACCCATAGAATGGAGACTAAGTTTAGACTGGAGGAGGAAGAGCATATGGTGAATTAAAACTTTATTTTCACTGTAGTTTGTTTTTGAATTTTTTTCACCTCTGTGAGATACGCAACAGAGCTTGATGTTCAATGGAAAATTTCATGGATGTCTAAAACAATTTTAAGGCCTTTGGTACCTCATGCCAAAATGTGACAAAGGTACAATTTCTCAAGTGTGGCTTTCTGACTTCCCACACACAGGCTTAATAGACATCAGTGTTTTATTTTTGATGAAGGATGGCAGAGCTGAGGAACGGTGTTTTCTCCTATTTAGACCAGCCAGAATCAATCCTCTTGTTCCCCTCAATTCCATTAATATCCAGTTTTCTTCTTTTTTTTGCAGCTGTTGGTAACAGCCATCTCCTCATGGCTCACCTTCCCATTACAGGAAATCGCACTGCCATCACGTGAGGACAGAGTACTGGGAATTCAGAAATGGGCGCTCTGTGACTTTCTGCCCTGTGTAAGGATGTTAAGGCAGTAAGAGTTGATCACCATAAAGCTCCATTGTAGAATAATGGGTTTAAGGATGGCATGGTGGCTCAGTG